GCGGTGTTTGAGATAGCACTTCCCTCTGCTTGGCCGCACTGTACAGTCCCATGTCAATGTTCTCGTGACCATTTGTGGACCTAAGCACAGTATGAAACTTCTTTAATTTCAATAACCATCCTCACGATGGAAACAGCAACCTGCTCCCAACTGTACCCAGCTACAGCTAAAGCAACTGTTGTATTTTTCTGCCAGTCCCAACTGCTGGCTGGATTTAGCTCCTGGATTCAGCTCCCACAGGCTCCTGAGAGCCTTGCAATACCAGAATACCTGTGAGTTACTGTGGCCCACCACACACAGATGGAGATTCTGGTGCCATCCTGCCCTGACCAGGCATCAGCTTTTGTACTAAAAGGTAGTGGAACTCCTAGCACAGCAGTCCCATCTGACCTCTGCCACTCATTAGCTGTGTGGTCTTAGGATAATTACTTATATTTTCAGTGCTTCAGTTTCCTAATATGCAAGATGGGGTTCATGCTGACAGCTCCTTAGAGCAGTGACAGGACTCTGTCAAACATTCCAAAGATGCTATCTACAATGCAGAAATTGGTAGCAGTTATTCATATACTTTATAATGACCATAATAGTGTGAATTGGCCTTCATTTTCATCTGAGTATTTCGATACATGAACAACAGGTAAAATTTGAGTTTTGCTTGCTTGTTTCCATTGGTTTTAATTATGGTCTCCTAACATGAATATTTTCTATACATTGGGATAGGCTGTTTTATTATTCGGTTGCCCTAAATTTTCTTAATTAAAAGTGTACATATTTTGGGAGTGTCTGGCTGGCTCAATAGGTCTCTTGATCTCAGAGTTGTGAGTTCAAGCCCCACATTGGGCCTAGATCTTACTTAAAAAAATTTTTTTAAAATATATATATATATTTTTTTGAGAGAGAGAGAGAGACAGAGAGAGACAGAGACACACAGAGTGTGAACGGGGGAGGAGCAGAGAGAGAGGGAGACACAGAATCTGAGGCAGGCTCCAGGTTCTGAGCTGGGAGCACAGAGCCAGATGCAAGGCTTAAACTCATGAACTGTGGGGATCATGACCTGAGCCAAAGTCACCTAACCAACTGAACCACCCAGGCGACCCTACAAATTTTTAAAAAAAACTGTACATATTTTTGAAAACAAATGAGCATAAGCTTGAAAACAGTAGAGCAGACACCATAAAAAAGTAAAACACAAAAACTAAGCAACAAATATAAATGCCATGGATAATTCAGTATTTTGCCCACTGATTCTTAACAGTTGGCTGTTCCTCTGGCCTGCTCTCTTCACACACAAACCTGGCTTCTTTTTCTTTCCTGGTGGTTCTTAAACACCAGGCAGACTGGTCTTAGATTAGCTATGTGACATCATCCAGTGGGGCTTGTTCAAAGTCACATTCTTAAAACCCACTCCCAAAGACTGATTTGGTAGTTTCAGGAGAGGGCTGGGCGTCCCTATTTTCACAATGCCTCCTGCATTGCAGGTGTAGGGGAGACTTGGGAGACTTCTACTCTGTGCCCTTACTCATGTTCTCATGCAAGCGTTCCTCTCCAGCCCCTGCTACCCATGAATGAGGTGCCAAAAACTGTGCAGCCACTGTCTCGAACGCTTATAACTACCCTGCCAAGGAGATATTCTTCATGCCATATTATAAGTGAGGAAACCAAGGCTCGGTTATGTTTAGTAATTTGTCGGAAGTCTTCTGCCTCTTTCCTTGACAAGAGTATTTGGTTAATACCATAGCTGATGTTAACTTATCTGTTGAAGCATGTAAAAAATTACCTCGAGGGGATGGACCAAGCCTGGTCCATCTAGCATAGTCAGGGACTGATTACAAGGAGTAGAAACCCATTCGAAAGGTGTGAAGAAGGCTTATGGAGAGGATAGAGGAGAATTTCATGGAAACTAAATGTAGAAAATGTAGCTTGGCCTTAAGAAAACTGGATTAAACTCAGTCTTGGGTGTTTGAGATACTTGTAATAACAGAGGAAATAGATAATTTTCACATATTTATTCTTCCAATCTAGTATGAATGGCTTATATGCATAGGTTTCTCCAGCGAGGCTCAGGAGCTGCGTAGGAAGGCAGGAATTGCCTCTCCCATGGCTGTAGAAGAAACATTTCAGTTCCCTCCTTCCTGTACAGCTGCCACTAGGGTGTCTCCTCCCAACAGCACTCCTCCTTGTTTTCACCTGGCTGCTGGCCTTGGCTGGGTAGAACAAAGGAATAAAGTGTTGCAAGAGAAAATGGGCCCTCTATTCCCTACAGGCTCTTTCATTCTAAATGAGAATTCAAAGTCAATTCAAACGGACTTAAAAAAAAGAAAAAAGAGAAAGAAATTTACTGGATTATGTAAATAAAAGGTTCAGGATTAAATCTAGCTCTGGAATTGGCTGGGGGTCACAGATAAACTGCCCCAGCTTCAACAATTTTCCTACAGCAGGCATTTAAAAAATATTTGTTTACTTGAATTAAGGCTATGAATTTTCCAGAGTCAAATTGTCTAAGTATAGAATTTGTCATACTTCTTCCTGGTTTTGATTTATGGGGATTTTATTTTTAAATATTTTAAATATTTTTATTTATATTCTACAGTATGTATTATTTGGTTTTATTTTTGATCAAAGAATGTAGAAGCCAGATTTTTGATTTTTTAATTTTCAAGTAGCTGGGGGATATTTGTGCATGTGTGTTTTCATTATTTATTTGTTTGTTTTACTTCTAGATTTATTGTCACCTGGATATATTTTTTCTGTGTCTTGCAATTTTTTTGTTTTTCTTTTTGGAAATTTTTTCTTTAGCTATGTTAATATATTCAATCTGATTACAGTCAGGGCTTGGCAGGGAAGCTGTTTGGTGGCTTTAGGGTGACCTTCCATACAGCTAGTCAAGTACATTAGGTCTCTTTTATACTTGAACTCGAGATGGAAAGATTATTTCCCCATTTTCTTTTCTTTTTTTTAATGTTTATTTATTTATCTTTTGAGAGAGAGCGAGTGAGAGTGAGCAGGGGGAGGAGCAGAGAGAGAGTGGGAGAAAATCCCAAGCAGGCTCAGGGCTGTCAGCACAAGAGTCCCACACAGGGCTCCATCCCATGAACCGTGAGATCATGACCCGAGTAGGTTGCTTAGCCAACTGAGCCACCCAGGTGTTCTTACTTCCCCATTTTCAAACTACTTGGGGGTGGGGGACTCGTTTGTGGCCCTATATACTACAGTTCCCCTATGAGTACAGTAATAATAGTGCATACCTTACAGGGTTGTTACCAGGATTAAATGAGCTAATATGTGTAAAATGCTTAGCACTGTGCCTGGTCTACAGTAAGCCATCAATAACAGCTCCAGATGATAATATGTTCTTTTTTTCTGAACCCGCAGTTTTGCTTTCCAGTACAAGTCCACTTTGATAGATATAGGGTGGTTTCTAATTACCCCCAACTTCTTTCTAACCAAAAATCACAACAACAGATGAAGAAGAAAAGGCAAAGAAAAACTTCCCTACTGGGCATAAATGGGATGTAATGACTTTATGCAGCACCCCTTAACAATCACAATAGCAACAACAACAAAAGCCAAGTTAATTTTCTTTTAAACATGTTCTACCCGGTTCTGTGAAGAGAATTCACAGAGCTGCTGAGCAATGTGCTTACAGCTGAATCCTAATAACAAGAGGTCCTAATTTTCTACTTGTTGAGGACTTGTTCCTCTCCACCGTTCAACTGTGTAAACCTTCCGGGCAGGGATTAGGTCTTTCATTTCTGGTCCTCACCGCTGTGCACAGGTGCCTGACAGAGAGCGTGAAACACAGTTTGAGTTTTGTGGGGGTTGAGAGGTCCCGTATTCGAGTTCTCCAGACCTGAACCAAATTCCAGTTCAGCTACTCAGAAATTAAGTAATCTGCCTTAAGAGTTATGCTTGGGGCTCTATTCACTTGCTTGTTATTATTGGCCAATTATCGTGATCGTTGTTTGCATACATATTTGGATAATAATTTCAGATGGTTGTGGAAAAGTGCTTTGTATAAGGTCTTATACACACTTTATACCTCACTAAATCCACTGAAGAGCCCCCTCAAGGTAGGTGAGTTTTACTGATGATTATATGTGAGATAATGGAAAAGTAATCACCAGCCAAATTATTATTCCTTCTATGGATGAGGTAAGATTTAATAATGAGGTAGGATTTTAAAAATCTGCCAATAATAACTACCAAGTGGTGTTTGGTGATTCTTTTAACGACATTCATTTAAAAATTTATGAATTATTATTTGTTCTCATTGCAAGTCTGTCCAAAATGAGTAATGGTGTAGCATTGTATTCCTTCTCATGGTCCTCAAACTACATATCCTAGTAAATATAATTTGTAAACACCTGACATTTAGTGATTTGTCAAACATCCTATCCGATCCGTGACTTCACAGCCACTGGAAATGTTACTCATCTTCAAGTAAACGAAAACCAGAATACTTCATGAGGCTGCGAAAGCCACCTGCCACACCCCTTCTCTATTTTCAAGGTGGTCTTTCTGATCTCCCTTTTCTGAGGACAATGTTTGGCGAAAGATCAATTCGCAGGGTCGCAGTGACTTTGTTTATAGGCTTTCTCATTCAGCGCTGTCGATTCTAAGCCAGAGGAAGCGGAAAGCCGAAGGATTTGTCATCCTCTGCACGGGTGCTTTCTCTTTTTTACCAGACTTTTTTGGTCCTGGGAGGGGTGCTGCAGCTGCGTGATACTACATCTCCACAGCCCTCTAAATTTAGGCCAGCCTCATCCCTCACTGTCATCACTCACTCCCTCTGGCGTTCGTATTTCTCCCAGTTGGATTTACTCTTGCAAAATTCTTGCGCCATTAATCCGCCGAGGGATACCCCGCCGGAGCCCGACCCACCCGCCTTCCCACACACCCAGGGAACCCTGCCGGGTTCCTGCCAGCCCACACTCACGAGGAATCATTCCATTTCCTGGCGACCAATCAGCGTTCCGTACGCTGCCGCGCCAGCCAATCCAAGCAAACACACGTTGCCCAGGCCAACTTCGGCCACTTGCTCTCCGGTGCGCCCGGGTTCGAGCTGCGGAAAAACTTGGTACCTTCCAATTGGCTGCAATGGCGGAGGTGGCCCGTAGCCCATTGGCTCTGCCGGCTCTGCCTGGCGTGGAAGCTGAGGGAGCTCCCGAGCGTCAGTGTTGCCCCAAGCCGTGAGTGCGGTGCGGCCCGTCGCGCCTAGCCGCTCACCGCGCCTCCCTTTATCTCAGGGAGCTGTGGGTGGAGGCGCGGAGTAACGGCGGAAGTGAGGCGGCCGGGAGGGAAGGCGACAGGGGCGACCGGGGCGCCCTGTCCGGGGCGTTTTCCGGAGCTGCTCCGGGCAGCGGGGCGGCGGAGGCCGGCGCCCGGGTGGTGCAGACCTTACAAGTGAGGGAGGTAAGGCATCCCCGGAAGGACCCCAATGCTTGCACCTCGCCTCTCGGCACCGCTCACCTGCTTAAGGACTTGGATGCCCACTAGGCGTTTCTGCGTCGCTTAAAAGGGGAAGGGGCAGTAAAAACCTCGCGTCCAGGGCCGCAGTGAAGATTCACTGAGGTCGCGTTCTGTGAGTGGGCACAGTGCTTCCTGGTTCGTAGTAGATGCACAGACAACGTAGGGTCCCATCTTCCCACACCAAGCTCTGACTGAGTGATACTGATAAGAGGCAGCGTTTTCCGGTGCTTAACAATCTTCCAACCCCGATACTAAATGTATTAATTCATCTAAATCCCCAGTAATTTAGTGTTATTATCCCTAATGTATAGTTAAGAAAGATTACCTGAGCTATTTTGGGATCAGGAGCCAAGACAAAATGACAAATTCAGTATGATGTCAGTTTTTTTTAATGTAAAGTCTCTTCTAGCTTGTGATCAACTTCCGGTGTTTTACAGAATAGACCTTTAGACTGTGAAGGCAGAAGCCCAGGGTTGGAATTCTGGTTCTATCGCTTATTAGCTGTGTGATTATGGACAAAGTGACTTAATTTCTTTGTTACTACTTTGTAAAATCAGTATAATAGGATCAGCTTTGAAGGTTGTTTATGAGGATTAAATGAAATAATACAATTTAAAGTGGCCAGGAAGACTGGTCACATAGTAAGTGATCAATAAATGTTAGCTATTATTATTTTAAGTAAAGGATTAGAGCATTAGGAGTTCAAAGATGACCTTGGACTCAGACTTAAAGCTGAAATATCATTAGAATTTTTTAAGTTTACTTATTTATTTTGAGAGAGAGGGAAACAGAGAATCCCAAGCAGACTCTGCGCTGTCAGTGCAGAACCCCCATGGGGGATCGAACTCACAAACTGTGAGATGATCTGAGCCCAAACCAAGAGTTGGGTGCTTCACCTACTGAGCCACCCAGGTGTCCCGAGGTATCGTTAGAATTTAATATTGCCTTAACTGTTGTAAAAAGTCTCAACATGGTTGTAAAGCTAATACTAAAGCTAAAGTGAGCACTGAAACAGAGGGACATTGGTGACATTGTAGAAGTAGGCTTTTCTGTTGGATTCTTGCTATAGCCAGTCTCAAAAATGAGAACCTACTGTTTTTGAGTTTGAAAAGCTAAATTACAAATTCAAAATTGATTGGAAATCAAGGATATGCTGAAATGTTTATGTTAGGTGGAAAAATAATTTAATTTACAAGGCCTTGGTTTGCACAATATCTTGGGGGAAAATCTATGGCATGCTAAATTGAAGCTATTCAACGAAATGAAACCCTTATCAATTGGGAAATTGAAGTTTAAACAATTCTGTTAATAGTTTCTTTCAATAGTGAGTTCTGACTTCATATTACATAAGTACAGGTTTTTACAACATTTCACTTTATATTAGAGGTTAAAGTGTTTATTATGTTTCATATTTAAAATAGAACCTATGGCCATCTCCTTGTGATGTAAATTTAATGAAAATTGGAGTTGTATTGGTCACAGACTATGATGCTGAGAGATGGCCACAAGACAATTTTTAACTTGGGCAGGCTGCCCACTTTATGATGGCAGCCACTGTCTACACTAGTGATTATTGCAAAGACATGGGCATAGGAAACATGAACAAAAAGTTTAGTCTAAAGTAAGGAAAAAAATGAAGGTGGACATTACTGAGCACTGAGGAATAGAACTGTCAAAAGTAGATAACCTTTTCTAAGGAACTGCTAGATTCTGATATGATTAAGTGGTACCTGTTCTCTGAAATGTTAAGTGATGGAATTGGAGAGTTTCTGATGTAGGTCAAGAAAGGGAATAAAAGAATTAGTAAGAGGGAGTTCGGAATAGTATTTAGAACATTTTTCTCACATTCTTCACAGGTGGAGATTTTAGTAGAGCATATTGTATACTTTCCTTTCAATTAATGTGAGTACCCTGCTTTATTAGGAGAGCATCAAGACCTTGATAATAACTCCATACTGCCCAACCCCCAATTCGGGAATATGTTTTGAGAGAGATGTTATGCCTGCCCACACACAGATAGTTCAGACAGTAGCCATATTCTCTTTTGGACTTAATCTTGATGAAAAATGTCCATGCAAGAATGAACTGCCTGGTTAAATACTTCATTGGGCTAAAAAAGAGCTTTCTGAGTTTACACTTATTGTTTGCCTTTCCTACCTCCTACTCCAGTACCCTTAAAAGAGGCCTTTACTAGTTTTTAATGTTTTAGCTTTTGTTGTTGTTGCAATTAAACATTTATTTAAAAGGTGGAATAAGTCAAATTTGAGAGCAAAGACTGGATTATAACCATTTCTTTAGTTCTAGGACCTGGTATATGCTAGATATTTGGCAAATAGTAGACTTACTTGAGAAATTGCTGTATTTAATTACGGCAAAGAATGTTTTAGTCATTCAGAAGCTCAAGGATGATTGGTGTAAATGGGCCCATCTTAGATATCTTGAGGTATTTCATAAGTGAGGCTAGTAGCTCACCATCTACCTCTTTTTCCCACTTTTATTTACTGGGTTCCTACTGCATGTTAGCTAGACCTAAGGAGGATAACATTGAGCAAGTCACACTTCTTGCCCCAAAAGATTTACAGTTAAATTGGAAAAGATGACAAGTGAATAATTACAGAGTTGCTGTGACAAACGTTGGTGGGGTAGGGGGAAGCTAACCTAGTTGTTATAGGAGTCCAGGAAAGAAGAGTAGAAATTAGGCAATAAAGCTCAGCCAGGTCATAAAAGGGTCCATAAGCCATATTAAGGAGTTTGGACTTTATAGTGATCAGTAAGAGCGATCAGAAAGATTACTAAGGTAAGCACCTCAAAGATTCAGATTCTCATCTTTATAGGTAGTTTTTTCTGGCTCACATTTGTGTAATGGATTTGCACAAAGATGATGTTGTCAATGATAATAGCATCTTTACATTTCATCTTTGATTTCTATCAAGGAGTTTGAAAAAATATCTGCCAACCACAGGAACCTGGCAGGCAGCCTTTGGGTTTACAGAATATTGTTTGATCATAACGATCCTAGTAATAGATTAGTTTTTCAAGTCTTCTCTAAGAATTTGTGCTTGTTTGTAACATACCCTTGATTAAGGTCATTGTACTGGCTACCAAGTCAGCAGTCTCTTGAGGGGAAATCGGATATATTCCTGACTGGCATACTTTTTGAATGAGATCATCCACTTTTTAGTCTTTGGGTGAGATCTATATTTTGCATCACTTACATAGATCCTAAATTCTACATTATTGAATTTTATATATATACTTTGCTATGTTTCTGAAAGGATATACCACCCCAAAATATACCACTTTGGAATAGGGATTATTTTGAGCTGAAGGCAGTCAGCAGCAAATGCAGAAAGAGCTGTTTTCCCTCCCATTACTGCCTAAAAGTAGGACATAAACTTCCCTTTGTGAAGGTCTTCCTTCTCTTCTCTCCTATACCGGAAGGAGGACAACTCATCACTGGGCACAGAGTTGACACCGTGATTGTCTGAACAAACAAACTTTACTACAATAACTCTTATCTTCTATTAGTTTTCGCTCATATATTTCCTCATAATTTACCACCACTAGAAGCCCAGCCCCCTCTTCCTTTGTTTTATCACTTTTCCACAATTTATCACCCTTTGTTAAAATGGTGTATAAGCCCTAGGTCTAACTGCTTTTTTGGATCTCCATTTCTTTATTGTGAAGGCTTCTATGCACATAAAAATTAAAATATCAATAGTGAATAAGATATATATGCCTTTTCTCCTGTTAATATACCTTTGTCAATTTAATTTGCAGGTCTCAGAGACAGAACCTAAGAGAGTAGAGAAAAAGGTTTTTTTCCTCCCCTACAGTTCTATATCATCTTATTGTTTATCATTTTGAATGTCTTGTGTGCCCTGCTTTATGCTATTTAAATATTGACTACAATATTGATTTATTTTTGTCACCGTTAGTTTTTAGACCGGTGGTTCTCACCCCTGGCTGGATAACAGAATAATTAGCAAGGCTTTTTAACGAACTTAGATTATGGGGGCCTGCTCCAGATCAGGGCTACTGAATCGCACTATCTGCGCTGGGCCATGAAATGCAACATCTAAAAACAGTGTCAAAGAAAACCAGAGGCGGACAGAAGTTAAAGTGGTAAAGGCAAATCTTATTCAAGAACTATTGCAATAATGGAGAATAAACCTCAGTGTAGAACTACAGTCCATTCTGAATACAACAGAGACAAGTGGGGATTTGTTGTCAAAGAGCAGGGTGGGGTGGGTGTCCAGTGGATGGAAAATTGCTAAGAGGAAACATTAGGGGGAAGGGGAATTCTGGCTAAATTGACATAGGATTCGTGCTGAACACAGGGCAGTGTGACAAGATCAAGGGTAGGTTGAGGAATTTTTGAGGGTGAGGGGTTTTCGTAAACTGGCTCAGCAGGATTCTTGATAGAACGGAACCTTGGGGGCCAAGGACAAGCCTAAGAACAAGGCTTGGTTAAAAAGAGTACTCAGAAGAGACTAGGGAGGGAATCTTTGTTAACAGCAACAACTACTACAAAATGTAACAAAGGTGATCCTGATGTATGCATTTGTCCTTGAGAATTACAGCCTCATTCCCATAGAGGTTTGAGGCTTGACATTTCATGTAGATCTTTTCTTGATCTCCTTTGTAGTGGTAACTTGATGGTTCTGTAAACTGTGCAGCTTTTGCCCAGAAGCTTTTTCTCCTTTATCCTTTTTACTGGAGTGCACCAAGGCACCAAAAGGACACAAAATTAAAATAAAACAATTCTTGTTTTGAAGCAAACACACTTCAACAAATATTAAGGACCTGTTGTGTTCCAGGCAGTGTTCTAGTTGGTGGGGAAACACTGGTAAATAAGGCAGACAAAAGGCCCTTGCTTTGTTAGTTGAAGATGCGATGGTGAAAGAGTAGAATACAGTACACCAATAAATAAACAGGTTAATTTCATAATGTGATAAGCACCATGAAGAAAATAAAAGAAGGATATAATAACGACTTGTAGAAGGCTGTATTTAAGACAGGAGGTTTAAAATGAAGTTGTCATTACAAGTTGTTATTAGTCATGCTCAGATTTGGGATTTAATAATGCATGCATAGAAATAGCAAGTGCAAAGCCCAAAGTCAGTGACAGGCTTGGCCTATTTGAGGGACAGAAAGAAAACCATTAGGACAAGAATATTGTAGGCAGTGAGGCTTTGACTTTGAGCTACTGGCTCAATTTCCATTGTAAAAATAAATTCTTAAGATGGGGAAGACTGAGTCAAATTGAGGGAAGCCTGGGGAAGCAAGAGGTACCCACAGGGATGAAGCTCTAACTAGGCTTCTGGATCTGGGACTTTGGGGTGCTGTCTCTCCCCATTTCCCCCTCTCTCCTTTGGTCTTTCCACACTTCAGCCTCAGGATAGCCAGATTTTTTGCATGCTTGCATGTTAATCAAAGACTCCCGGAGCGATTATTCTAAAAGAAACCTGCAGAACTGCATAGACTTTTCTAACCCAGCCTACAAAGTCATGCAGTCACAGACCACTTCTTGATGGGAAGTATATCAAAGAATTTTCAGCAATGTGTTAAAACCAACACATTACAGAACCCCTCATTATATTAAGTTTATTATCTTTAAGGCTAGTAATCATTGCTCTTTAAAAACATTGTTGAATAGTAGCTTATCTTTGGAATTGTGAATAATATAGTACTTTTATTTTTTATACAGTTAAAATTATTGCCTTAAAATTATGAACCATTTGTTTATGCTGTACTAGTAGTTCTAAAAGTCTTCCTATGACCTCCTTCCTTACACAGATACCTTACTGAGTCCTATAACATCTCACTGAATGAAATAAAATATTGAAAATGGTACAGTTCTTCAAACTTTTGAAATTGTTCAGAGTTCTGTAGCCCTATCCTGAAAGAAGGTATGAGCAGGTTTCTGCTTGTGCTTCTTGTTCATTTGTTTGCTAGAATGAGTCCTAAATCTGTTGGATGTTAAATTAAAATTTTAATGGCTGAAGCTCTAAGGACTTTTTTAAAGAATTTATTCCTTGTGTATTTATTTTTATAGTTTGGAAACAGCAATTTTTTTTTCTTTAAGTTATCTAGAATTCAATAATGTATATCTTTTTGTTATATTCTATTAGGAAGGGAAATAGGATTCTGTTTTATTTTTATAGGAATAATTTTAATAACTCAAAATATGTGATTCTCATCCTTGATTAGGTGTTATTCATCTTGGAAGCTTTTAGGAAAACTATGCCCAGGTCCTACTCTCAGAGATTCTGAATAGTTGATTTGGGGTGGGATTCAGGTGTAAGTATCTTTGACAGCTCCCCAGGTGATTCTGTTATGAAGCCAGATTTGAGACTCCTCGGTCTACTGCGTCAAACTGTGATATTTGCTGATGCTAATCCTTGTCTCTGTAATAGGAAAAAGGAAAAAAGAAAAAAAAAATGGAAGGCCTGCCTGATGCTGCTGTCTTTGCAACTAGACTTAAAAACACTCTCATCCAGTATCATAGCATTGAAGACGATAAGTGGCGAGTTGCCAAGAAAATGGTAAATTATTTAAATTACTTCTATTTGGGGTTTATCTTTTATCTAATGAGTTGGTTGATGACTTTCAAAATGGTAAGGGAAAATAGGACCATTCTTTGGAAAGATGTGCAGGATAGATAATTATGCTAATAAAATCAGTGTTTTTACATCTCACCAAGGCAAAAACATAATAATCCTGTACTGCTTTCATTACTGCTTTAGCTAGCGGACATGAGAATAGACTCTTGGCAACAAGAACCTATAGTATAGCTTCTAAAGCCAACATATAGAATGTATGGATAGTTTGGAAGAGTTTCAGATATTTCAGCAAGCCTGTGAGGGTGGCCATTTAGTTTTCTTTCTTACCAGTGTTGACAGAAGTAGCCCTGGATCCAGGACTCTTGCAGTGAAGCACTCTAGCTTGTCTGATGGTCAAGATTTCTTGGGAAATGATCAGAAAAAGGATGTAGGGACTAATTCAAGGTAGCACTGCCATAATAGATGTGACTTGTTTGATTTAAAAAAATATACATGAGCAAGGTCAGAATGAAATATTTAGCATTCCTTTTGTCTTAGTCTAAATGTGTCAGTAATGGTAAATAGATAAGATTGGAGTGAGGCAAATAATAATGGCTGGCAAGATAGAGCCTTCACTGGATCTTAACAGTGTTTGGATCTCATTAAGCTACTAAAAAATCTTTTTTGGAGGTCTGTACTTTAAGGAAGATGTGAAGAACTTTAGGAAACAGAAGAAATTCAGATATGGATCATTTGATGGCATAAAAGACTTCTATGTATCTCTTTGAATATTTACTTAAGTTTTATTTTAATGCAAGGACATGCTCTGCAATTTGAAATTGTTGGTTTTATGTCCACGTTTCTAGCTAGATGATTATGTTCATATACTGTTTTTATTTTTCTAGAAAGATGTAACAATTTGGAGAAAACCTTCAGAAGAATTTAATGGATACCTGTAAGTAAATTCTTCTAGTTTTATGTAGCTCTTAAGACATTGCCAAATTTCCTATATATAAATGATCACTAAATCATCATTGCCTATGAAATTTGGCTTTTAATATTTTAAACTTTCTGGGAAGCAAATAACCTTATGAATTCAGAGTCTTAAAATGTCTATATCCCTTGTGGACTGAGGTGGTGGTAAGGGAATCATAAATAATGATATCAAATGGCCGATAAAATCTTAACTTCTTAGCATGTTGTATAAGACCTTTCTAGTCTTCTATATTTACTCAGTGCTATAGCATACTTTATTCTAAGAATTCATCTTAAAGAAATCGTAAGAAAGATAATAGTTGAGTAGTTATCTCTTCCATCACAGCATTACTTACAATATTAAAAATTACAAACAACTTGAATAATCAATAGTCAGAGAATGGTTAAATTTTGAAACGTGGTATCTTACGGTCTTTAAAAACTACATTTTAAAATATTATTTAAAAACACAAGAAAATGCTCACAATGTAATGTAAAGTGAATAAAGCAGAATACTAAATTGCAGGTAGCATAATTGTGAGTTGACTTTATATATATATTTTTAAATTTTTTTTAATGTTTATTTTTGAGAGAGAGAGAGAGAGAGACAGAGTGCAAGGTGGGGAGGAGCAGAGAGAGAGGGAGACACAGAACCCAAAGCTTTAGGCTTTGAGCTGTCAGCACCAGAGCCCGACACAGGGCTCAAACCCACAAACTGCAAGATCATGACCTGAGCTGAAGTTGGCCACTTAGCCGACTGAGCCACCCAGGTGCCCCTATATACTTTTATATATTAAAATGTTTTTACTTGGAGCTCCTGGTGGCTCATTCAGATGTGCATCTGACCCTTGATTTCAGCTCAGGTCATGATCCCAAGGTTGTGGGATCGAGCCCCGTGTCGGGCTCTGTGCTGACAGGGCAAAGCCTGCTTGGGATGCTGGCCTTCCCTCTGCCCTTCCCCTGCTTGCTGGAGCACACATGTGTGCACGTTCTCTGTCTCTAAAATAAAAAAATAAAAAATAAATGTTTTTACTTAACACCAAACATATACCTCTAGATGGCAGTTTTATACGTGATTTTTGTTTCCATTTTTTTTGGTATTTACATATAGTTGAACACGAATTACGCTTTTAACCAGAAAAAAAATAATTGTTTTTTAAAGCCAGTGGAGACAATTGCCTTGTGTAATTGCAGTGGAATGTTCACATCCTTGGGACTCAGCCCTTTTAAAAATGAAACTGTTCTGAAGTATAATACCAAAGATAGCATTTCCAGAAAGATGAGTTCTACAATATTTATGTCAAGGACCAGGAAACTGGAGTTGCGGATTAAGCATTGTAAGCAAGTGTGAATTAATCATTTAGATCACCAATTCCCAGTAGGGGTTGAAAAGCATAAAAAGTGCCAAGAGAGCATTACACTTGGTGATTTGAGAGAACTTCATAGAAGAGTCAGCATATGAGCTGACCTTTAAAGGAGGAATGGCTTTTTCCTAGGGAATGAAGAACTGATTCGTATTCCAGGCAGAGGGGATTGCATCTCCTCCAGAAACACACATGGGAAACACTCTAAGGAGTTTGTTTAGGGAAGTAGAAGTTGTGTTCGTATAGCTGGAGCATAAAGTAAGGGTGAGGAGAGCATATGTCTGAAGGATTTTTGAATTCTAGAATAAGAAATTCAGTATTGCACTTACCCTTGTTTACCCCTGACCCCGACCTCCCAGGTCCTCAAAGATTTTGAACTTCCTCTGATAGCACTGCGAAAAATGGAACATGGAAATGAGTGTGGAGAGTTTAGAGAAGAGGTTTTGCCCTGGGAATCCATGGCTAGCTTTTTGAAGTTTCCTTAAGATCATATATATAATTTGGTGTCAATGTTATATTCCTGGGAAGAGATCTTTGGCTTTTTTTTTTTTTTTTTTTTTTTTTTTTTTTTTTTTTTAAGAAACTTAAAGAGACATGTGATCCAAAGAGCTAGAAATGGTTGCAGTGTCGAGTTGGACGCAGAGTGGCCTAACTAAGTGGGAGTTGATAAGGGCAGGTGAACGTGACAGAGATCTAAAGATGGTGGTGGAGGTAATGATAGCTAACATTTATTGAGAGCCAAATATTGTCCTGAACTTTACATTTAGGAAGTCATCTTGATAAAACATGGTGACTGTAGTTGTGACTACTGAAATAGGGTTGAGAGAGTCCAAGTTGAATCCCACATATCTAATTTGGGTGACTGGATTAACTTGTATTGCCCCCACTCCCACCATCCACCCAAAGTTAGAGAACACAGGAGGGAAGAGCAGATTTAGGATAGGGGAGACAATGTAAGTTTGAGCTGGAAGCATTTACAAGACGATAAAACAGCTTCAGATGCTTTAAAAAAACTTTTAGAGGGGCGCCTGGGTGGCTCAGTAGGTTAAGCGTTCTCCTCTTGATTTCAGCTCGGGTCATGATTTTGTGGTTCCTGAGATCGAGCCCCATGCCAGGCTCTGCACTGACAGTGTGGAGCCTGCTTGGGATTCTCTCTCTCCCCCTCTCTCTGCCCCTCCCCCACGCACATGCATGCCCTCTTCTCTCTCTCCCTGAAAATAAATAAATACACTTAGAAAAAAGACTTTTAGAAAGACCCCCCTCTGAAAGGTTACTGATAGAGTTAAAGCTGGTCTATCTCTCATTTCTTCTCTTTTCTTTCCTCCCCAGTTAACTAGTATCTTAAAGTGTATGTTATTCCTGTTTTATTCTTTGACCACATATGTGTGTGTGTTTCCTTCAGTAATTTCCTTTAATTTTTTCCATTTAACATTGTGTTTTCAAGATTTAGCCATGTTGTTACATGTAGACCTATTCTTCCATGTTCATAAGAAAATGCTGCGATATGTTTATCTGTATTTGCAAATTTGCCTACTGACAAATTTTTAGGTTGTTGTCAGTTATCCCTTATAAGGTACAGTGCTATAGTAAACTTCTTAGGTATTTGTCTCCTACACATGTGTGATTTGCTTTGGGGTGCACCTGGGTTGGCTACACTAGACGTTAACCAAATTGCTCTCTAAAGTGATGGTAGCAGTCTGAGAGTTCTCATTCCCTTCCATTCAGTACTGGTTATGTTTTTAATCTCTGCCAATCTCAGGGGTATGAGATGGTATCTTGTTGCTATTTGCTTGATTATGAGTGAAGTTGAGCATCTTTTCTAAATTTATCGACATTTCAGGGCAATCTTAACGTATCCTTTGCCCATCTTTTCTTTAGATTATATTTGTCTCATTAGTTTATAGGAATTAATTATGTATTCTCTGTAATAATTATGTCTGTTCATATGTGTTGCACATGCCTTCTTCCAGTCTGTGCTGGTTTTAAAAGAAACTTACTAATTTTGTCATTTGTGATATGCAAGTTTTTAATTTCAACTGTCTCATATTATTTGTGTTTTTGTATGATTTATGTATTCAAGAAATCCCCCTGTATCTTGAATTCACAAAGTTCAAAGTTTTAAATTTTATGTGGTGGTTTTTAGTCTATCTGGAATTAATTGTTTTGAATGCTGTCAAGTAGCGATTCAGTTTTTAATTTCTCTATTAGGATAAGTGTTGAATCAAAGCACCATTTATGGAATAGTACATCCTTTCCCCATTGATATGTAATGCCACCTTTGAAACATGCCAAGTTCTGATAAAATTCACGAGCCAATCCTCGGTGTTCTCTTCCTGGGTGACCTATTTTTCTTTTCTTGTCATAAAAAAGTTTTTGAAAGAGCAAAAATGTATGTATACTAATAACATGTTAGAGCATAACTGAAAAAAGAACAGCATACAAAATAAATGAAGCATTAGCGTTCTGCCAACTGTTTTCAGCTATCCCGTAACGTGAAGGTACTTTACTATGTTTATGACAACATAATTTGCCATGCATATCTTATCAGATTTGAGGGCAAACAGTACAGTCTGATAAAATAATTGACATCACTACATTTATCAGAAAAACAGTGGGATTTACTCCCTTTAAAAAATCTTTGTTAACTTGTACTCTTTTTGAAGTTAGCTCTGAACGATGCGGGCATGCTGAGATTTTTCATTCTAATAGCATTTGACTTTAATATTCTTTCTCCAGTTTCAAAGCCCAAGGTGTTATAGATGACATCGTCAATAGTGTAATAGACCATATACGCCCCGGTCCCTGTCGCTTGGATTGGGACAGCTTAATGACTTCAATGGATATTTTGGAACACTTTGAAGAGGTATTTATTTAAAAACATTACTTCAGATTGTGTGTGTGTTTGTGAGAGAGAGGCAGAGAGACAGAGCGAGCATGTAAGCATGAGCATGTATACATACACGTATTCATTGCTTTGAGAGTAGGTAGTCACGGCAAAGATCTCATAGGGGAATCCTTGATGCCTTTTAAAAAGCTTGAGTTTCCTCATATTAACTAATGAGTATTCGTCAGAACTGAATTTGTTTTCCACAATAGCTCTACCCTTGCTGCTTAAGAAAATTGTCAGCATCTTTAATGAGGCTTTGAAATCTAAAATTCTGAAAACACCACCATCGTATTCAGGTTTCTAGGTAATTATATGTTTTTCCATTAATGTTAAGCCAAAATTAAAGACCAAAGATAAAAATGCCACCTTAGGCATTAGAGAATTATGAACCCAAAGTGGGTTGTCTTCTTTTTCTATTTTTATTAATTCATTCTTGCCATGTTTGAATTTCTTTATTGAACTATTTGGTGTTTTAGTCCAAGGATTTGTGGATTTTATTTTAAACACCTGTAGTCTACACCATCTATTTCCATGTTGAATATCATATAGGATAAAAGGCCACTGTATTGAATTAGAGATTTGGATACTGGGCAGCTTAACTCTTTGTGTTTTGATCATATATCTTATTCACAAACATACAGTAGCAGTGATATTTAGAATAGAGATCTAAACCTGTAAGAATCACTGTAAGAATTGTTATCAATAATAATTATAATACAGTTTAAATGAGTATCAGTTTTTTACTAAAGATTACTTAGTGATACATGAGTCAATATATATTTCCTTAGTAATACCTCCTACTTGTTCCCTTTCAGAATTGCTGTGTGATGCGTTATACTACTGCTGGCCAGCTTTGGAATATAATTTCCCCAAGAGAGTTTGTTGATTTCTCCTACACTGTGGGCTATGAAGAAGGGCTTCTATCCTGTGGTAATTATATCAAAACCTTATACTTTCTTTTCATTTGTTTTAAATATTTGAGTTTTCTAGGCTGGATGTTTCGTTCTACGTGAGATGTATTTTCAGCCTTCACACTTATTTTGTAATCACTTTAAGCTTTGCAAACACCCTAGGAAGTAAAATAACAATATCAAGTAGGGTTTGGGAATCTTTCTGGTAAGTTTTTTTTTCTCAGTTACATGGTAGCTTCCATGTTATGGCTGACAAATATGAGTTAAATGACTGCCTATGAGAAAGGGATATAGTAAATAGATTTCCTTTTAAGTCACTCTCAGAAAACAACTTCTTAGTCATATACATAGAAAGAATAGACTTGGTATGTGTTAGAGCGTTTTTGTTTCCTTGAGCTGTGTAATAGTTGTCTTCTAAAAATTAAAAATACTGCTCTTAGAAGGCTCCTGCTTTCTGAAATAGATCTATAGGTAAATTGATCTTTTTTTATGTGTAGTATATACTTGAGTTAGCAGTTGTAGGTAAGTATCTCCTTGTTGACTCTTAACCAGCCAGTACCAAAGTTGGATGTGGTAGTGCCTTTAGGGAGTAGTGGTGGTACCATAGTTTTGATTTTTGGTACCTTGAAGCCTGGATGCTACAGCCACGATTCATAGTTTCCACGGAGTTACCAGGGTTACATAATGTTACCTATTCTGACGTGACTAGAACTTTCCCCATTACCTACTTACCAGCCCCCTGCCAGAATTCTAGTTGGTAATTATCTTTTTCATTCTTCCATGGTTACTCTTAGGGCTTAGTTTTTCATCTACATGGATAAGAAGAAAAATAGTTAAACAAGATATCTGATGATAATTTTTAATGAGAGTTTTAGACTAATCTCAGTCACTGCTAAGTGTTAATTTAAAATTTCCTTGTAGGGGTAAGTCTTGATTGGAGTGAAAAGAGACCAGAATTTATTCGTGGATATAACCATCCCTGTGGTTGGTTTTGTGTTCCGCTTAAAGACAATCCTCACCAGAGTCTTTTGACAGGCTATATTCAGACGGATCTGCGTGGGATGATTCCGCAGTCTGCAGTCAACACAGCCATGGCAAGCACTTTAATCAACTTCTATGGTGATTTACAAAAAGCCTTACAAAAGGCATAATATGTTTAAACTTGTAGTACAGTAGACCCCAGAGTCAACTTTTGCTCTCAGCTGTGTGGCCTGTAAAAATCATCCTTTCCTCTCCTCCATGGAGCCTGTGGAAACATTTGAGATGATTTGTTGGTTTATTTTATTCCCAAACTAAATATTGTCTAAGAGAGGGCATTTCAGTTTTCTTAAATAGTTATTTGCACAGTGTTTGGTACAGCAGTGTGTCTGAGCACAGAGAGTATGACAGAGATCCATTAAGAAGTAGGTATTATTCTTTGACCTAAACTCTTTAGAAACTGAGTAGTGACTCAATATGAATATTTTGCCTGCTTGGAAATTAGAGAAAGCATAAGCTTCATGCTGTTAGTTAAAATCATCTATTTTAGAGGTTTATGAACATTTTATAAGTTTTAACTTTTTCTGGAAGTTAAATATTCGTGTTTTACTTTGGTATGCTGTATGAGTTTGTCAATATCTTGGACTAAAGAAAAAAGCTCTTTATATTTTGTAAAGGTGATTTTCATTGTCAGTTGACTTGCACTACTTTATAAGTATTGAAAAAATCAGAAATAAAAATAAAGTAACTATAAATACAATTCAAATACAATTCTAGATAACATTATTTTATGGATATCTTTAAAAATGTATTTGTGTCTTTCTGTGAGTTTATTTTGGAAGTCTTAAAAAGCATTTATGCATGGGTAAGACAGTACAAAACTGCCAAATGTGTGCTGGGGACACCACATTGATTGGGTTATGTGAAAGGGTTGGGGGTATCCTCTATTCACCAACAGAAAATTATCTGTCTATAAAGTCAAATTCAATGAATGCTTTCTTCATGTTTCATTTTTTTAAAGATAAGCCCTCAAGAAATAGCTTTAATTCTGAGCAGTATCTGATATTCTTTAGGAAAATAATGAGATTTTCAGTCTTTCTCATTTGACCCATGTTCATGTTTCAAAGTGTCACTCACCTCATAAAGTATTACTGACTACATCATAAACATTGTGACAGATCTTCATCTGGAACTTTAACAAATGCATTCATAGATTTATCTACATGCCTGGATGAGTCATTTTATAACTAGCATGGATGAAAATAGGTCCCTTGAGTCTAGGGCTGCCTTAAATGAACATTCCTGAATAATTTTAACATTCCAAATGATTCTTTGGCTTTTGAACTAACCACCTGGTTTACTTTTAAAATGAGATCTTGAGGCAACTCATTCAGTGTAGCCATGAAGATGTGTGTATTTATGTTCGTGTACGGGCACACGTTCTGAAATCTATCTTCGTGTTCAGTGAGTTCTTTATGTGGTACTATTACTGTTTCCATCATTTTGTTTCTCCTTCTCCTCCTCCTCCCTTCCCGCTCTCCCTCCTCCTCCTCCTCTTTTTTTCTCTTCCTTCTCCTACTCCTCCTCCACCTCTCCCTCCTTCCTCCCCTTCCTCCCCTTCCTATTCTCCTTCTCCTTTTTCTCCTTTTTGATTAATATATTCCAGTGTTCTGTCTAGGATGGCAAAATACCAGCAGATGTCCAATTACAGGGTGCCCAGATTGTGTGAGGGACTTGTCATAAGATTGTCTGAACTGGGTACCCCCAAAGCAAATAAACTGTCCACTCAGCAACTCTAATGTTCTCTTTGTCCTTTTCAACTTATACCTCCAATTAGTGATTACATAATCCACTGTTGAATTGGACCCATTGCACATAAAGGGACACTCATGGAAACATTTTTATTGCAATACTGAGTCATATGATAGTTTGAGAAATAGTATTTGAATGACCTGAAATGTATATGCAGCTTCTAGATGGCACTTTAGATCTGCTGCATTCTTGCTGTACTTTTTTTTTAACAGCCTTATTGAAATATAATTTACATGCTATACAACTTACTGGTTGTAAGTATACAATCCAGTAATTTTTGAATACATCTATAATTGTGCAGCCATCACCACAATCCAGCTTTAGAACATTTCCATCAACCAAAAAGATCCCTTTGCCTGTTTGCAGACTCATATCTAACCAAAGTTTAGCATAGTTGCCAGCATATAGGAGATGAGAGCGATTACAGGAGGTTTTATTTGGTTTTGTTTTTAAGAGTAGATTCTAAGTTCAGGTACCTCGTGGTAATGTTTTAAATATGTTATCTGAAATACCATAATTATACAAAAATTTAATGATATGGGTTGGGATTACTATTAACATATAATTGAGTCTGCTCTTTCTGTACAGTGCTGTAGAAGAATGGAAAACTAATGTGAGCTGTATATATAATTTAAAATTTTCCAGTGGCCACATGAAAAAGATAAAAAGAAACAGCTGAAGTTAATTTTAATAATGCAATTTATTTACCTCAGTAGATCCCAAACATCATTTCAACAAATAATCAGTGTGAAAACTCAATAAGATAGATTACATTCTTCTTTCTTACTAATTCTTTGAAATCTCATGTGTATTTTACTTACTTGGATTAGCCACATTAAAAAATTTTTTTTTTTAAATCTTTATTTATTTTTAAGAGGGGAGCGGGGAGGGGTAGAGAGAGAGGGAGATATAGAATCCAAAGCAGGCTCCAGGCTCTGAGCTGTCAGCACAGAGCCGGATGCGGGGCTCAAACTCACAGATCGTGAGATCATGGCCTGACCTGAAGTCAGACGCTTAACTGACTGAGACACCTAGGTGCTCCTTGGATTAGTCACATTTTAAGTGTGCATTATCAACATTGGGCCAGTGGCCTGTATTTAATAGCACAGTTCTCTAGTATATGTATTAATTTGTGTTTTTATAATATGAAGTAATGAATTTCATGGAATTGCTCTCTTAAATACAAAATGTTTTCTAATCTCTGGAGCCTTCAATGCTTGCTAAATGGGGACTTCTGAACATTAGAAATAAATCAGTTTGTAGTTGTTAATAATATAACAATTATAGCCAAAAAGTTTTCCTTTAAATATAATTAATTTTCGTAGGGCAGTTAATGAAACAAAAAATATAATCTGCCTTGTTAGGTGGTTGATTATTTTTCTCTAGCTTATAGCTAGTTTGTATTAGAAACACATTTACACAGGGAATACTTGGCATAGTACTGTTTTCAGTACTTGTTACCTACTTTTTTAAGGACATTAGTTTCATACAAAAAAATAATTTATCATAACTGATACTTTTGCATGAAGTATTAGTGTGCATTGATAACTAACTCTTGATTAACCCTTGGAGTTTAACACAATACTTAGCAAAAATAATTGCAGGAATTTACTGGTTGCAGTTATGTATAATATGAACTGCTAGAGTGTTAAAGAGAGATTGTAAATGTTAAAAATCTCTTCATTTTACTGTTGACTGATGTTGGATGTATTTGAAGTTGTAGATTTCTACATGTAAGATTATCTCCCAGTAAAAATAATTTTCTTTTTCCCCCTCCTCCCTCTTTCTTTATTAACTGAAGGACAAAGTATCAGGACTCAGGTTGAATTAAATTAACATCTCAGACAAAATCCTCTGTAACTGAGGTTGCCTCTGGAGAAGATGGGAAAACATTGCACAGTTTAAGCCTTTAATTATTTGTTGAGCTTTTAGGTATGAGTAATTCCCTTTGATGTAAACAAAAACTTTATCTGTTTACTCAAGAGCACACTAGCACCCTTAGAATCAGTGGTTAAAATCCAGATCCTTTTACTTACATGGACACTGCAGGTATCCCAACCCAATGGATAAATTATGGAATCCAGAGAAGTTAGGGGACTTGACCAGGTTTCCATCAGAATGTGTGTCGTATAATCACTCGTCTGCTGTATTTTTCCCTTGCCTTTCTTACTCAACTTCTAGAAGTGGGGGGTGGTGCGATCTGAGCATAGAAGAAACATAGGAAGTTGGAATTATAATTCATTATTTTGTTGTTTCCAAAGATTTTACATGTATAGTCAAATAAAAGTTTGTCTCTTGCAATTCAATAAAAGCTATACTATATATAGATTTTATTTTTTAAAAAGTTTATAATTCTTTTATGAGCCAATGTGAAACTGGAACCTTTAATAAAAGCATGTTTTAATATAAACTGTGTATTTATTTTTAAATTGCTATGAAATATTTCAAAATACAATTACTAGACATTCATAATCATTGACACTGTCTGAGTTGTATTAACCTTAAGTACTGGCAAATAGTTTCATGTATCTGAACTTAAAGTATGTAATTTAATTTTGTAAACTCTTACAAAAGAAAAATATAAACTGGAAAATAAAGATTAGTAACTCACATGCTTATCTCGCACCAAAGTCTCATATAATATTAGCCAAAATACTGCTGAATTTTGGTTTGCTATTATATAGCCAAGATGATGATGAATGTGTTATTCCCTTATTTCAGTAACATATACACAGGGTTTGTTGTCCCCACGTTTAAATAACTGTGTTAACTTGGCTAGGAATTGTCATAATTTCATTTGAAGTTGAAGAAATCCAGAAGTAGTGACGACACAGACCCTTGATCTATGTTACCACAAAGTATTATGGATACTGTGGGCAGTATGCACCAGAAAATAATCACTATGACATGGTTTCAACAAACAGTGTTTTTTCTCATTTAATAAAAAATCTGGATATAGGTAATTTAGGGTTTATCAGCTCAAAGATGTCAGGGCCAGAGTTTCTACAGTTTTTATCTTTCTCTCATAATGATAAGGTGATTGACTAGCCCTGAAAATTACATGTGCATTCAAGTCAAGAAGCAGGGGAAGGCATGGCAACACGCACTGGTCTCTTCTATCAGGGAGCAAACGCTTTCCCAGAAGCCTCCACTAGCTTTCTTCTCCAGTAGTCTCTGCCACATCACCCCCCCCCCCCCAGCTGTAAGGATGGTTAGGGAGGCAAGCATAAGAATTTCCAGCCTCTTGAAGAGAGGGATGGTGATGAATGACTCTTTGGATAGCCAACCATAGCATCTCTTAGTGGATCAGCTCTGGAAAGTGTGTATAAGGCTCTTTCAAATGTCAGCCGGAAAATGATAAGACTACCAAAATAGAAATGAAAATAGCAAAGTAGTCATTCACTTCATGAAAAACTTACTGGGCCTCTTTTACATGATAGACACTACATAGCTATTCTTAGAAGCAATGGGGCTTCCTCTGTAGGTTGTTAATTTTTTTTAATGCTTATTTATTTTTGAGAGAGAGACATAGTGCAAACAGGGGAGGGGCAGAGAGAGAGGGAGACACAGAATCCAAAGCAAGCTCCAGGCTTGGAGCTGTCAGCACAGAGCCTGATGCGGAGCCCAAACTCACGAACTCAGATCATGACCTGAGCTGAAGTCGGATGCTTACCTGCCTGAGCCACCCAGGCACCCCATCTGTAGATTGTTAATGGCTGGTGTCAACAAGAATGACCTGTTTCTATTACACCGTAATATTTTCAGAATATATAATAGGTGTTATTCTATTCCCCATAAGAGAATTATATTATTCTATTCCCCTGGAGCAAAGGGTCCACTATGGATGAAGGCTTCTGTAGCTATGAGATGACAGAAAATTGCCAGAACACATGACCTGCAAATGTATCTCAGGAGTTGGAGGGTGGATGGATCCGTGCTACCTGTGTTA